CGTAGTTACATGCGTGAGGTTCGGTACGCATCTGGGTTTTGGTTCGTCTAACGCCTGCGCTCTTGGTCTGATTGGTTAACATGTGGCATCAACTCATTCCTCAGTCTCTCCGTATTGACGTGTGCTGTGTCCTAGAACTACGCATACAGGGTAACAGCTTCGTGACGAATCTTACTCTCTGGCTCCAAATCTATTGACAGTGACGACGCTCTTGGCATCGGTGGCGATACTGAAGCAATGGCTTACGGTATGTACAGGATCGACATCTCCCGCAGTAATAGCTGAAGCCAAGGTGCATTTTCATCGCCTCAGTTTATGCCCCTACTGAATGCAATTTAGATGGGATCAAAGATCAGTTTTATTGGGAACTATCTCTTCACCGCATGGAGAAATATACTGACATCGCACTTTTTCCTGGTGACTTGAGTGCCCAAGTGGATCCCTTTCGTACTGTGAACAATACCTGAGAGGTGGCTTCAAGATCGATGCACGCTGAACAAACAATGGCGATCGTTTCCAGTAACTGTGCGCCGACCATAACAGCACTGCTTTCAAGCACAAGCATTTCCATTTTGTCATCTGTCTCCCTCCGAAATGACAATAGTGCCATCAGGTACAGATGACGCACATCAGTCCAAGATTGTCGGTCAATTTGGATCACGTGCCTGGATTCCGACCACGTGCTAGTACGCGCACCCGTAGCACCCACTGTTCACACTTCAAAGAGGCGCCTAACTTCTATGCTTCTCATTTGTGACCTGAACTCACAGTTGAGCAATATCATGACCAACTGGTCCACCAATTGTCAACGATGAATAAGGATGGTGTTCTGCACACTGACTGCAATTGTCTCAAGTGTCATGAACAATGCTTTCAACGCTTGTTGTACATCTAACCATGAGTGCATCTCTGAGGCGTCGACCAGTTTGATGGAAGCACGGGAACTGGTTCCAATGGGTACCTTCTTCATCATCATCATCATCGTACACATTAGCTACAAGTAGGAAACACTCTAGCCATTATGCCGCAATACAGTTGCATCAGTAAAAGAAGCAAAACTATAATGCAAATACGAAGATATTATTATGCTTTGTTTTATATCATGTAGCGTCTGTGAGATCGTGGTTGGAGGGGAGGCTAAGAAGAAGGAAGCTTTTCAAACACAGCCACAAAAGCATGCAGTAAAGCAAGACACCAACCCAGTGAACAAGACAGCCTTGAAAACAACAATTCTGTTGACTCGCACTAGGGTTGTACACCCTCGAATTCATAACACAAAGTATCTGGTCAAGTAAGATACCTACACTGATGCCTGCGTAGGCCTACATTCGTATAAACACGTGACTTCCTGCAACAGTGGACAAAAATCCTTTTGAATGCGGTTATGCGCTGCTACAAAACCTACGCACTGCATAGGGAGGACATCTTCGATATTTAGCCAAACAAGTATCAAGGTATCAGCAGTACCAATGCTTCGCTACTGCAAAATCACCAACAGTCGCACATAGACTGCTGATACCACGTGGGTCACCCGAAGTGCTACGCAGGCCTGAACCGCCATCCTCCGATTACAAGGTAGGCTTGCGATCCCTTAGGCTACTGGCTAGGAAACAAGTATGGCGCATGAACCAACTAGATTATCGGATAATTCCTGGAGACTAGCTTTGCTAACCTTTTCATATCAATACAAAAGGAATGGGCGAATCGGCTGCAAGAATCCCATTGAAGTGGCTTATTAACGATAGATGCCTAGGTCCCAAAATGGCTTAATCAGCGAAACCGAGAATGACGGGTATGCATAGGTAGGTTGCAGGCGCTCAACGAAATCAAGTCAATATATGCTTTATGCACTCGACTGGGAACGGTTTCAAGTAATGGTCGACAAGATCAGGCAAACCTCTCTGACATCACGGAATGTATGGGTGAGCTCATCGGAAGGAAACCGAACACGATACCGTGTGACGCCCAATCTCTTCAGCTCATCTGGCCAACTGCGATCCGCGCATTGAGGTGCGGTGGATCCAGTGGCTACCATTTAGTTTGTCAACATAATTTTAAGTGCAGTAATTTATTCAGTAAGAATGGGCAAGAAATGTAATCGTCATCTGAGACAATTATGTGTTGGATCGGCCTCACACGATGGCTAGATGATTCGATCCAAAGGTCAGTCTACCGAAAAGCGATCCAGACGGGGCAATACTTACACTTTAAGAGCTTTTCGCCGATGATAATAATACTAATGTGTCAGCTGTGCGCCGTAAGGGCGCTTTGCTGCCGTGCGACCATCACCAGTACACGCAGGCTGAGTGTACCGCGAGAACGCCCGATACACCACAAGCGCTCCTTAGTTCGAACTTTGTTCCATCGGGCTTATATGATTTGTACCACAGATGCACTGGAAGCTGAGATAGAACTACACTTTCCTAAAGTGTTTCAGTGAAACGAGATCGAAGGATAACGGTTCAAAATAAACTCGGGTGTCTCATTCACAGTCACCATGCTCAACCAGAGGCCTCACATTCTCAACCTTCTCGAGGCCATTGTTATCGATCGTCAGCGCCCACCGCCCTATGTTCAAAAACAGATGCTTGACGCTAAACCACCTTCGTGATAGCGAGTAACGCACAATCGTAACTCAATTGGTCAACTATTGGATTTATATGATCTTATTTTATTATTATTACTATTCGCATGTACGTGGCCGGCGAGAATGCACGAGATGGCATTGTCATCCCACAACATACGTCTTCTGATATTCTTATTTAGAATTATAAAGGGAACTTCATGTCTCAAATCGCAAGAACGCTAGTTGCTATGCTGGCTCAATCATAACCGTTGGGGACCAAGCCATTGGATATGGCGTATCTCAAGGACTCTATCCAGGGTGATATTTAAGTACAGTTTGGTCCACATGCAACGGGCATCGCAGTGAAGGGAAGTGGGTCACACAAACACTCATTACTCCGTATCCACGTATTTGCGCGCTTCGGCATGTGCTTTGCATCTTCAGAGTACAATATGTGTTGCACGATTGGATCGATACGCCACCGGTTCTAACTATCACCGAACAGTGTCTGGAACTGCTGGATCATTTCACTTACTTTAGTATTGCATTTCAGCGCATTCGTAACTACCTGAAACGATAAAGAACAGGAAGTTTTAGAATTGACCGGGAACTTTGTTGGGTAGTAAGGTCTGCAATATTAGTAATAGCCTAATACTGTTTCAGCTCATCTGCAACACAAGTCCAAGCAAATCCCCGGTTAGTGAGACAGTAGCTAAGAAAGATGGACACTTGTTCCATTCTCAGCCGCCTGTGCTAGCTCGTTGGATAGAACATTTCGAGCAAGTTTAGCATGCATAATGCGACGTTACCGCCTAGTGAAACACCTGAATGGACGTGGGATATTAATTTCACACCTCCCAACTTGAAAGAGATTCGACATGAGTTTGTTCTTTTGAGAGGAAACAAGACTCCTGGACCCGGACGACTTACATCCATCTTTGCTGTACGATTTAGGTAACCCACTGGAGGTAGTGAATCGGTTCTCTTACCCTGGTAGTTGTCACCTCTCTTGGTCACATCTCTGAGGAGCTTTATTCACACGTATCAGCAAGACCCATGTGGCATTTCAGTGATAAAATCCATGGAGACAACCGGATACCAGCCTGTCAGCAAAACGTATGGTGTTTAAACCTGCGGTAAGGCCGGTCTCACTTTATGGATCAGAGACCTGGTCATTTCGCAATAAGGACATAAAACCTTTGGCTGTGTTTCACCATCGGTGCTTGAGGAATATTGCTCACGTCTTCTGGAAACATCGGTTGAGCGATGCTGTGGTCCGCCAGTTAGTTTGTGATATGAAACCTGGTGCCTCACTCTACTGTTTGCTGAATCTTTACCGCTTACATTGGCTAGGTCATGTCCTCGGTATGCTCGTTGACTGACTTATCCGGCGTGTATTATCCACTGTAGCTGCGCCAAGTTAGGCGAAACCGCTAGGTGGCCAATCGATGACATGACCTGAGGAAAATGATCGTGAGACTTGGTCAGGGTCGTGTTATAGTTTTCGTGGATGGGGTCCTTGGGATGGTCCACACCAGTGGTTGGAGACTCGATCAAAAATGGCGCAGTCGCCCATTTAATCGTGTCCCTTTTTTCGGTTTCTTGCATCTAGCTGTTAATTTTCTTTCCATGCCCATTAGTTTTGTACACTTCTTTCTTAATTCTATTTTCTTTGTATTTTGTCTGCCTTCAACCTCATTTTCTTACTGTTGTTACTTATGGTTATTCTATCGACGTGAGTCGTCGCGACTGGATCCATCGTATTTCGGTTCCCATATTGTGCTTGTTTAATTTGAAACTGGACTGTGGAATCAATGAAATGCCACCCAAATCTGTCACACGGATAACTTACCCGGATTTTTGTAACATCTCTGTTATTCGGATCACTGAGATTGTTACTGCACTTACCGGCTAAGCTCATGTAGGCTTTGCAGTTTCACTCTGTGAAGAGCACGATACACAGCAACGCTGCTCGTCGGTTGTTACATCATCGGTACGAAATCTGGCCACTTTTCTCTGAAAACATCAAGCAACTTTTGGTCATTGATGTTTGCGGAGTGTTGTTTTTTATCTGGCGCGGCCACTGTGTTGAACATTGTCGATGTTTGGTAATGTATCCTCCGGTGCGTTATTAAAGTATTTATCAATCCTGAACCTCTTACACGGGCTACGTCATATCTTTCGTAAGTGTTCTTTGACTGCCCATCTTCTCTACTATTCATCGATTGCAATTAGGTGGCTGATATGATGGAGTAATTTACTCGTTGGTAATTACGTATCACATCGTTTGCAATGCCATCGGTTCGTTTCTTTTGAATACATCTGTGTGATATATGAATTTGTTGTTATCTATATCACTGATATCTCCTTTGTAGTGATTTGCCTCATGCAATAGCCGGTTTTTTCACGCCGTTCCATTTTCTCTTCCATGCAGCCACAATTTGTCGTATCTCGTTTAACCCAAATCACACTTTGAACGACAATCTGAGTCCCATGAAACGAGCGAAACTTTCCGCACCGGATTCATCAATCGGTAGCCCCCAGTCCTCTTCTGCCATTGATCCACCCCTTGGGTCCTCTGAAACAGTGAATCAGGTCACTTCCCAGGCTGGCTGTATGCGGGAGCATGCCGAATTCGACAACCCAACCACTTGTTCGGGAAACTCAAACGATACTTCGGTTCCATGTGTCGTCACAACGCATCCAAATGTCTTGGATTCAAGCCAGAGTCATGTTGAACCTCAGACCAATGATGTTACCCGAACCGCGTTTGCTCCCGGTGACGTCACTTCTTCGTCTACTGTAACATCCAACGAAGTGCCCAATGAGGAATCAGTTGCCAAAATGACCACGGAAACTCTGACCACCGGTTCAACAGCATCCTATGGTCTTCCCGTGATACCTTCAGTTGTCCCACCATCCGATGCTCGGAGTGCAATGGAAAGCGATGTGGGATTGTCATCCCTCTCCGGACTGAAGTCAGACGCTGCCACCGCTCTTCAACTCACTGGTGGAATACCCAGCAACGCGGCCAACGAATTGGCCATACTTAATCAGCTAATCGCCAATTCTCGTTTGGCGGAAGTTCAGCTGCAGCAACAACAGGTAGCCGCTCTCCTCACTGCCTTGTCCTCACAATCGGCTCACCATAACTTGTGCACCACCTTACCCTCGATTCCTTTGTTGAGCGGTCCACAGCACACAACTCCACTGTTACTCGCATCTCAGCCTCTCTGGATGACGCCTGCTGTCACAGCTAACTCCTCTTGGTCTGAGGTGGCATCTGCCACTTCACCCATATCTCCAGTCACATTGCAGCAGCAAATGATTGCAGCGGCAGCGGCCCAACAGCAACAGCTAGCTTTGGCTGCTCTGCTTCAGCGTCAACAATCGGCCAATCAACAACACTTTCTAAACTCTGCTGCACAAGTTCAGAATTATCTGAATGCATTCCAGCGCCACCTCTTCGATGGATCGCATCAGTGATGCTTTGGTCTTTCTGCTCATCGTTCGGAATCTGTCGCCAGCTCCTCCCGGTTTCTTTGTTTGCTCATCTTTTAGGTATTTACTAGTTATCCTGTTTGGGTCACAACAGGGGGTTATGCAAATCAGTCTGCCTGTCGCGTCTTTGCATTAGTGTACAATCGTGGTTGTTCCCTTTGGAATAGGCATTTACTGTTCACATTTTGCACGTGTGTTCACCTGTCCACCGTTCACAATATCAGACTTAACGCGAATTCCTCCTTTGTCCTCTTGGATTCAGTACTGTAGTGTGATTAACCCACAACCGTCCAGCACCCTATTGCTCCAGCCACGCTGGGCTCTCATTCCAACATTGACCTTGTTCATTTACCGCGCTCGTCTGTTTGTGCTTTTCATCTTTTACTTCCATCATCAGATGGCATGTCATGCTTGTTACTTTGTAGTATTTTTCTCTCCAGGTTGGTTGGTATTTGTGGCCTTACGGAACGTCATTCTTGTCCACATGTCCATTTGGTTCCTTGTAAAGCTCGCCACTGGTTGTGTGCACGGTTCAGTTTGTTCTACGCGTGTTGTACATTGTTCTTGAATAAGGATGATTGTATTACTATTTCACACGCATCATTCGGTACTTCAGCCAGATGCACATGGGACTAGGCGTGCTAAATGCTCCATCCGTTGCCATTGTTTTCTGTTATGGAAGACAGTTTCAGCACTGGTGACATACCACCTCAGCGACTATCCCAAGACTTCTGTCTGTTTGTAGAAAATAGCTGAGGAATCATGCTTGGATTGAATCCCTAGTGGTGGAGAGTTTCGGTGTGTCAGCAGTTGTCCATGCGCGTCCAGTTTTTCTTTTGGTTTTGACAGGCTTTTTTCTCAGCCTGGCGGTTGGTTTTTGTGCCTCAGCGAAATGATGCTGTCTGAATAGTATTGCCGCCATTTTCCATATGTTCTTCACATAAGGCAGAAAGACCCGTCACTGTCGTTGGTGTATACTGTTTGTCTAACTTGCTGTGATTCAGACACCTACAGATGAAGCTTCGCGGGTATCCAATGACTTAGTAACATCTAAATAGATGATTTCCTTACGTGGTACTACAGTGTGTTTGCAGTCCGCGAAATAGTGTCCGCACACAGTTCACTTTGTGGCAGTGTGGGTGGTTGTTGTTAAAATTCAGAATTTGGTCTGTATATGTCCCTTTCTTGAGACCGATGTTTGTAGCCCCCCTTCCATGGTTCTTGTTATGAATACGTCCAGGAAAGATAGTTGGCTTTCACTCTCCAGTTCCATTGTCAACTGGATGCTCTCCATGGTCATCATCATTATACACGTTAGAAAGAGGTTAAAAGAACCCAGCTACTGTGCCGTAATACATAAAAGAAAAAACGAAGTTGCATGCCAGCTGAACTGCCGGTAACGCATGAGCATCGTTCCGGAAAGTTACCAGCCGGCTACTATGCGGCAAAAAAATATCATACAAACTTATATTATGCTAAGAAATGAGTTCGTGAAGGGGAAGCTAAGAGGCATGGGGAGGGACAAAGAAACTCACAGCACCAACGCCATTATGGTCTGCTTCTAGCCATGTCAGCAAGTGTATCCAGCCAAACGTGTTCATTGGCTTTCGGACCCCAACCAGGGAGTCGTGAATCTCCCACTGAGGCCAGCTCCGAAGTGAGGACCTTCATTCCTCTCGATCAAGTCATCGCTTAACCACCTCTCTTCTTCCATCTACACCAGTGCGCAAAAATGCACGTCGCAGGAGCCGTTGCGCTGGCATGCGTAACACGTAGTCCAGCCATCGGAGCTTGGTACGTGAAATAACGGTGCTAAACGGTTCATTTCCTTTTATTGTGCTCGTTGCTCATGCGGTGTTCCCACAAGATGTGAGCCAAACTGCGAAGGCACCGGTGGTCGAACGTAACTAGCCTCTTTATATCGGTTGACCTAATGTGCCACCTTTCACAACCGTACAGTAGAGTCGAACCTACGGATGCTTTGTACAGTCTACCCTTCTGGACGAGAGTCATGTCGCGCTGGCGTCATGGGTGGGGAAGGTTAGGAAAAGCGCATCGAGCTTTTGTTATACGGCTCGTGATCTATTCCTCGATCCCATGGGCGCTGATACAACTTCCAAGGTAGTTGAATTTTTGAATAACTTCTAGCTGATCCCCACCAAGGCTCAGCGCAGGAGGCGGTCCAGGCCAATCTTAGAGGAAGCCTTTGTATTTGGAGGGTGCGAAGCAAAGCCCGAAACGGCTTACTCCCATTGCTTAGCTGTTAAGTGCAACTTATAACTTTTGAAAGGTTTCACAGATGAGAGCAATATCGTCAGCATATTCTAAGTCAAGAATTCGTTCTTCTGGGAGCAACTGCACGCTTTGGGTCTTGTGAACACGATCTCCTCCTATAGTAGGGGTAAAGAACGTAAAAACTGTTTCTGTACCAACAACTCCGGCTTGAGGTGGCGGATATAGATAGATTCCGCAATAGCTTAAAAATGCTTCCGGAATCTGCGCGAGAAACGCTCAGGGATAGTATAAATGACGCTGAAGTCGTTTTCCGTCCCTGTGGTGCGACAGGATGTAGCTGTTACAAGACCTCGCTTCGCCTCCGTAAAACCACTTCGGAATGTGTTCGCGAATCCTTTGGGATAGTCGCCTCGTACTACGACCCACGTATTGTGCACCACAGGAGCAGTGATCGAGTCACCGGAGGCGGCCTGTTTTTCAAAGATTTTGGAAATAACGTCTTGTTGTTGGATACTATGTGTAGGCGAGCTGCGAAATAAGTCGTTGCAACTGCGTCTTTCAGGCGTTTGGACAGGGCATCAGTCGCACTGTCGTCTTTGCAAGGAGAATGCACAATGAGTTCTTTCTTGGTTACACTCATCTTCGGTGATTTTATCTTGCGTTCTTATAAATGTTTGGGGATGAATTTATCTGAATGCCCATTCGCTCTTAGGGCGTCACTGATTCTTTGCAATTCCTCTTTGCTGGTGTCCGGTGTGCAAATTCTGTGTGCCCGTAAGACAAGGGTGCTGACTAGATTTCGTTTGCACTATGGTAGTGGTACCGCACTATAGAACTTGATGTACTGCCCAGTTCAGTTATGCGTACAAAATTAGTTTGCACGTCCTTTACTTCCACCGTAGCCTACAACCTTTGATTCATTCCCCAGTTAATGTTTGTTTATGCAAGTGATTTGCCCATGTACAGAATATGGCACCTTCTCTGACCCCGCGATTTATTGGTTTTTCCCGTTGGAGTTAAAAATTCTGATCAATACGCAGCACATTTGGCACCTAAGTGTCATCAGGTAATGTTTGAGTCTGGTGAGTATTACCGAAACGAATTTTTTTTACTCAGCATCTGCTTCCCTTGATTCCTTCTATTAAATGGGAATTTTCGGATTGCTGAAGATCAACATCCTCATGATTCAATCAAGTATTTGAATTATCTAGAAACGGCAGCTCATTGTTTTGCAATTTTCGTCCAGCGCCGAATGTACAAGATACAACATAGCACCTATTGTGGCACGGTTGGGTTCATAGGCAAACTGGTATGCATCATCTGCCTGGGTGCTAGTGAAACTCTGATGGACAAATTCGACGTCACTGACGTACATTCAATCGGGCGATGGTTTGGAGGCTCCTTAAGCACAGCCGTTATCCTTACAGGTCTCCAAATATCACTGATACCACCACTTATAATACAGCGGTTGAATTGAGCGGTTAAAAGTACTCCGATCCAATCCGCGCACTCTCTTAGAAGGAGTGTGGTACAGCAACCTTAGTTATCTTCGAGTTCTTTGTAAAGGTCCAAGCGATCAAGGGTGACTATGAGACCAGTGTTGGCGTAGGCGGGCAGGGCGCACACCCTATTGAATCTGTCCACATGCACCTTATCAAGACGCTTTAAAGTATCTTTGCCACACAGCTGCTTTTAAAAGCCTTCAAACGTCGCGACAATCGTGATTACCCGACGCAGTTGCAATGTATGAACGGTTCAGCCGGATTACCCCAGCTTTTCTTGGCAAACAAGATCGTTTAAACTGCGTTGACATGTTAAATATGATCGTTCTTCGGTTTAATTGCTTCAGTAGCGGCGTAGGCAGCTAGTTTCAACGGGTCAGCATGGATCAAAGCAAAATTTAACATATTCGGCAAACTATTCAGTCTCCAAAGATGGGTTTTCATCCAAGTGAAACGCGTCGCTTTGTAAAAACCCATGATGCAAGCGGAAAGGGCTATTGTCTCAAAGCTCTAATGATGGGTGCGTCCGTTACGACAAACAAGACATCCACTCAACTTCGCACTCCCTTTTGGAGGTTGCATGACGCGGGTTTCTTTCTGTGTCTTGGGGTCATATGCTGTGCATTGCTTGTACGTCAATTCCTCGCGCGCATACAACTGCGGTTCCAAGGTGTTTCACTCCTTTGGGGAAGTCATTACGGTCTGCTGGTTACCGTTTCGTAGCTTGGCACTTCCATACTGCTGATAACTGGCGTAGTAATGTCTGTTTTTAGTCCACCACAACTTGATGCCATCGTCGCATGGACTTTTGAGATATTTTCTGTCCGGCAGTCTCGCCTCCTGATGGGTTTAGAGAGTTTTTTTCTTATCAAAAACACAATTTTGGTGTTGTTGTACATAACGGGGTATATCTTCAGGACGCAGTTGTCTGTTACCAAGATGAACCCGCTTTCAAGTGAAAAGTAGCTGTTTTCTTTGTGAAAACGAAATCCAACTGTCCATCAAGTTCTGATCTGTAACGACCACATGTCTTGAAAAAGATCGTATCACTTTCGTTAAACTCATCAGCAACGATACAGAGTACTCATTTTTATGCATTGACGCCGGTGAGAAAAAGAAGTTAAATCGTCAGGTGTACGCCGTCACGGCGCTTCGCCGCCGCACCGTCACCACCAGCGGCGCGTGGGCTGTGTATATACCGCGAGGTCGCCCGCCCCTACGCGGGGATTCGAACCGGTGACCCTATGATTGCAACCCAGACGTGCAGACCAATTGACCACCGCCGGCCGATGAGAAATGATCCGTACAATTCTTGAACTAACTCGATGAGGTGTCGGGGGATATGTTGTTGTTTCCGATGACGACGGTCTACACTCGATTACTTTTTGATGTTGAGTATGTAGTCAGCAGGATAACCGAACTACATCCTAATTGGTTGATATAGTCGATAACGCCTCCTCCGCAATTCTAAGGCTCTCCATGGCGGTCGGACCTTACTGCACGGTATGTATCAATTTGAATAACCTCATCGTCCACATCAGAATGTGCATATAAACACCTCCGTTTGCCTATTCCTTACACTGCGTAGTGACACAGGTCGGCAACTTGACCTAGTAGGGAGAATTAGCGGAACTTGTGCTTTATTAACAGGATAGCGTATGAGTCCATCTTGATAGTCATCGCGCTACCTTCTCATTTTATCATACCGTTGTTTCCATAATTGTTTGTTGGTGTTTCTGACTGTTACATAAGTTGCTTTTCGCGCAGCATTCCGGAACAACTTAAAATGCCTGCAGAGTAGGACAACATTGATGACAGAATGATCCAAACGGGAGAACAGCAGGACAAAACTGATATATCCACAGTGGGATGCGTAAAAGTTGGTATTCCGAAGAGAAGCCGCAGCGATCGATTTGGATGCCGCGCTACAGCATTGATAGTGGTGCTGGTTTCATCTCTCCGGGCCAAATCATTTGTAGGTCTCAGGCTATTCTAGTGGCTACTCTCCCTGCTTAGGTCGACTTGGTTGCAATGATGAACCCTCAAAGTGTTTTGACTCTTTTGATCCTACTTGTTCGTTTTGGAAACGCAATTGTTCCTTCTATACATTCATCAATTTCGAATCCACTTCTTCTAAACATTTACACTATCAACGTGCAAATATACCACTGAGGCTGATGTTGCATTCTTGATGCTTCTTCACCGCAGTTAGGCTAAACCAACTTACACTTAAACTAGGTCTTTTTAAGCTGGATAAATTTCATTCCGCTTTATTTGGTATGTTCTGCCTCCCTGAATAATGTTCTATTAACTGGCCACGTTGCTTACACTAATTGCGCTTATCTTCGGTAATTTTGTTGCGTTTGTAGCATTTCTAAGTAACTTGTGGGCATTTCTTACTTATCGCGGATTTGTTGCTAACCAACTTACTTCATATGGTAATTTTGCGAAAAGTTATGCCACCGTATCTGCATGCATTATTGGATTTATTTTATTTCAGCTTGTCGTTTAAAGTGAATGGCTGTTGTTTGATATCCCCGGTGTAGCTGCGCTTGATGTGTATGTTGACAAGGTGCCTACCTGTTTATTACCCACTACCTCGTCCATACCGGCTCCAGGAG